AAGAACACATGCCCAGGTTTCAGGCTCGATTCCCAGTAACAGGTATGCAGAAGGCAGCTGATCAATGATTCTCTCCCATCACTGATGTTTCTATCTCTCTCTCCCTCTCTCTTCCTCTCTGTAATCAATAAACACACACACACACACACACACACACACACACACACACACACACACACATAAAAGCAAGAGTATGTATGTATATATATTTTAAGTGGCATTGGGGAAAAAATTGCACCTATATCTAATCAAACCCTCAGATCTTATAGCAAATATGGGGGATAGAGAAACATACCACATGTCACCATGAGAAAGCAAACAGGCAAATGCAGAAGAATGTGAGACACTGCTCAGGACAAATGACCCATTTTTTTTCCTATTGTCATTACATGAAAGGCAAAGGGGGGCTGTCATAGACTAAAAGAGACCCAAGAAACACAACTGAATGCCTTAAATGGATCTTTGGGTTTTAAAGAAACAACTGTAAAAAAGACAATGTAGGGACAAATACGGGGATTTGACTACAGACTGGCCATGTTTGATATTAAGTAATTATTGCTGATTTTGTTGGAAATGATTGTGGGCATGAAGGTTATATATTTTTTATTTTTGTTAATCCTCACCTGAGGATATTTCTTCCATTGATTTTTTTATGAGAGAATGGAAGGGAGGGGGAGAGACAGAAAGAGAAACATCAATGCGAGAGAGACACATCGACCAGTCAACTCCCACAGGAGCCTCAACTCCTGACCCCCAATTCCCGACCTGGTTGGGGATCGAGCCTGCAACTGAGGCAATTGCCCTTGACTAGAATCAAACCCAGGACCCCTCAGTCCGAGGGCTGACACTCTATCAATTGAGCCCAACCGGCTAAGGCAGCTGGTGAAATCTTGAGAGCGGAGGAAGAAAAACACTTAATAACCAGAAGATGGAAGAATAAGATATGCAGGGTGTGGCAAAAGTAGGCTTACAGCTGTTCATATGGGAAATAATACAATAATTAATAACACAAGAATAAACTCCATGTTTCATGAACTCACAGCTGTAAACCTACTTTTGCCCAGCCCTGTATATAAATAACCGAGTGTTTCATCAGGAGGGAGAAGTGGCTGCTACTTTGTAAAGAGGAGAGACATGCGGCCATTCCCTGAGGATTACAGGATGGGGATTAGGGATACAGATGCTTTCATGATAGGGCTCAGATGGAACACAGATGGGTGAAAGATGATACTTTATAAGCAGGATATATAATTATTCATTCAACAAATCTGCATTGTTCCTGCCCCTGGGGACAGAGGTGGGGACAAAACCAATGAGCGCTATGCAGAAAGATAAGGCAGGTTCAAAGGGCACAGCGTGGGAGAATAAATTTGTTGGGAGGGGATCAGAGAAGGCATGTCTGAAAAGGTGACAACTGAACAAAGACTGGAATGAAGTCTATGGATCTTTTTCCCTCCTGTCCCCCAAAGCTCTCTACATCAGAAGTTGGTAGATTTTTCTATAAAAGACCAGACAGTTTGCTGACCCCTACTATACAGGAAAATATCAGTATGGCTTCTTGTACATATTTCATTACAAGTGGTACATTCTAATAAGAATCATTGATAATAATAATGAAAGTATTAGTCTTGGCCACGCCCTCGTTGTTTGTATGTTTACTTGTCTACTGATTGTCTTCCCCGGGGAACTGTGAGCTCCTGTCCACTGTTATGTGCATAGAGGCCAGTGGCTAAATATCAGCTAAATGAATGAAGAGGCAATCAGGTGAGTTCTGTTATCGCCCCCGTTTCACAGGTAGGGAAACTGAGGTTCATAGAAGTGAAGTGACTTATCCAAGGCCACACAGTCAGCAAATGGCAGGACTGGGATTTGAATCCAGATTTCTGTGGCTCCTAAGGTAAGTAGTAATGGAATGATTTGTCGTTAAAATGCAGGGCATTCTGAACCAATGATGGAGCATCTTTGTAGTTAGGATAGAAGCGGGAGGGAGCTGCTAGATAAGTGCCAGTATGTTAGACAAAGGGTATTTTTCTCATTTTATAGGTTAGAAAACTAAAGCTCAGACAAGCTTAAGAACCTTGTTTAGCCCAGCCAGTGTGGGTCGGTGGTTAAGCATCAACCCATGAACCAAGAGTTCACAGTTGATTCCAGGCCAGTACACACACCCAGGTTGTGCCCAGGTTGTGAGCTCAATCCCCAGTAGGGGGTGTGCAGGAAGCAGCCAACCGATGATTCTATCTCTCTATCCCTTTCCCTTCCCCTTCTCCCTAAAAATCAATAAAAACTTATTTCTTAAAAATAAAGAAAATCAGGGCACATGCCTGGGCTGTGGGCTGAATCCCCAGTGGGGGGCATGCAGGAGGCAGCTGATCAAAGATTCTCTCTCTTCCCTTCCCTTCCTCTCTGAAATCAATCCTACATAATAAAAGGGTAGTATGCAAATAGACCAAACGGGGACAACTGGTTGTGCAGGAGCTGCCCCCTGGTGGTCAATGCACTCCCTCAGCCAGAAGCCAGATGGGGGCGGACCAGCGGAGCAGCCCGCCTCCCCAGCAGCGCTAAGGATGTCCAACTGTGGCTTAGGCCTGCTTGTGGGCCTAAGGGGTCAGTTGGACATCCCCCGAGGGCTCCGGGACTGCGAAAGGGGGCAGGCCGGGCTAAGGGAGCCCTCCCCTTGCCCAAGTGCATGAATGTTGTGCACCGGGCCTCTAATAAAAATATATTCTTTAAATAAAGAAAAAGAACATTGTCTAAGATCAGTAGCTCCCTGAGGGGAGGAGCCCCCTGGGGGAGGTATGAATCAGGAAAGGCCTGCTCAGGACACTATCATTGCCCCAAACCCCTCACCTGCGGAAGCCTGGGGCTGCTCCTCCTCTTCCTGCTCTTGCTCAGCCTCCTCCAGGAAGTCTCTCAGCAGCTTCTCTGCTTCCAGGGCCTCAGCCCCCAGTGGGGCAGCCCAGCCCAGAAAGGTTCGGACTCTGCCCAGGTCCGAGTGGGCAGGGGGGTCCCAGAAGTCCTGAGGGTGGTCCCGCAGCCAGGAGCCCAGCACAGACACCACAGCCCTGGCCAGAGGGGCAAGGCCTCAGAGGCCAGCTGGGAGCTCTGCAGCCCCCACACCTCCGATCCGTGCTTTGACCTCTAGGACCTTCCACAGCTACCCACGTGGGAAACCAACCTCAGGTTCTTGTTGAAGCTCAGATCTTGTCCCTCTGTCTTCTTGATCTCTACCCTGGAAGGAGACCCCCGGTCAGGTGAAGAAGGGTGTCGGGAAGAGGGGGGATGCTTAGGAGAAGGGCTCTGAGGTGGGGGGATTTCCTGATTCTAAACCCGAGAGAGGGCCCAGTGAGGGTCTGGGGTGGGAACGTGGAGGTTTCCCCATTGGTACTGACCAGGGGGGCAGGGGCGGTGGAGGTGGTGGCAGGAGAAGGCCCAAAACCCGAGCGGTGGGCACAAAGGCCTGGTGGGTGGCCAGGAAGGCAGGGACGAAGCCCGGGTCCTGCTCACGGTCCACAGACACCAGCTCCCGCACCAGCCGCTCCAGGTGCGCCGCCCTCAACATCCGCACCTTGCTGGTGCGGTAATGGAGGAAGGTGCTGGCAGGGGGGCCGGGGGCCTGCGAGGCAGAGGGGTGATGATGCCTCAGAGGAGTGGCCCCTGGAGCACCCCTTTTCCAGCCACACCCGTTGCTAGCAGGGTTCTTGCATCTGACCCCGCCCGCTCCTCGGAATCTGGCCCCTAGAG